ACTTGCCGCGAGCTTGCCCACTCAAGATGACCACCTTGACTGACACGGCCAAGCCTTACTGTGGTGTGCTGCTACCGCATCACGCAGATTTTGGAGTTCAAGAAGTACCCCTTGAATCCGACTGGTATGTGCCAAAGCCGAATCAACACAGTGTGCCGTTCCATAAAACTAACACATGCAGTCGCCATGATGCCAAGTGTCATCTGGTCCGACATTGAGCTATATGTGGGGGTATTCACAGCCTGCATACCCAACTTGCGCCAGTTCTTTGTCAGATTCATTCTTGGGCAGTCAGAAAAGAAGAAGCGCCTCAGCTCGGCCCTCACAGGAAGCGCCAATTCAAACATGACACCCAGGAGTAAGAGGTCTACATTATCGCACAATTTGAGCGAGTTTGATGACCTGGACAACCTCGATATGGATGACATATCGTCTCCCCAGACGCCGTCTAAGCCTCCAAACGTGTAGTCATATGTACCCGTACCAGAGGAGGTTGTTATGTACCATATTAAACGGATTTGACCATTTTCGGAGAAGATACCATTTGTTTTTAATTCGATACTGATTCCAAGTTTTTCATGGTTCACAATGGTACCATGCCTGATCCCCAAAAGGGGAACCTCTCCGCACACAGCCTGGTGAAGCCCAGGCAGATGACTATTAGCCCATCTTTCTCATCATGCTGTCTGCCTGCCAGCCCTTGGCGTCGACGTAATCAAACCCTGCCAGTCACTAGTAAGACATGTCACACCGGAACTCCTTGCTATATCCACCGAAGCCTGCAGATAGCGACTGCAGTTTTCGGTAATACCAAGTCTCGATCTCCATAGGGCTGAAGGACGCAGGATCGAGAAATGTTGCAGTTCGCCCGGATTACCACCACAAATCTTATTGGGAACTACGCGCATTTCCCTAACAAGTCTAGCCCGCGCCAGCTGAAGGTCGTCCTGCATGACGATGGGCTTATCACGCACATGTTTACCAGGCGCAGCACGTGGGTAAACTCGCACTTACGTCTTGGCGCCAAACACCCCCATCGATGCGACGTTGCCGCCTTCGGTGTCGTCGTATCATGCATCGTAAGTCGTAAAACAGTGATTTCACTCGGGTCACCAGTAAAAACCCCCACACGTCTTGGGAGGACTTTTGGGGGCCGATAGAAAGGTACTCTGAACATTGCTAGAACCTCACTGTTGGTTCGTTGGAAGCTGGCACACTCGCACTACAATGCCTTGTTCAGAGCCGGGCCTGGCCCCCGGTGAGCAAGATCCGACACACCCAATCAGATCCCGACCCGGTAGCCTGTCAAGAGGCGCAAATCCTGGTCGACAAGGAACTAGGATTGGCGCTTTCTTCAACGGGGATTGTCCGCCCGAGAAGGCGATAACTTGCGCTGTTGGTGCTGTTGGTGCCAGGGCCCAGGGTTTTGGTGGGAAACAGTGGCGTATTGGACCTCACAGCTTGGCGAATCTTACATTTACCTCACCGGGCGCTTGCGCTGGGGGCGTCACACAATATCTGCATGCTCATCGGTCGGCTCAATATTGAACAAATGTTGCTGCCTTACGGCATGACCGAAAGATGTCATCGTAGACCACGATTTAGAGTCCAGCCTGCATGGGGGCTATTGTTGGAGGCTGTGTCATTTGGCTACTCGGGCGCAATAGCGATGGGGTCTTCAGCTGTGCCTCACTAAGTGCCCCCATACGCTGACTTTGTATGAGATTGCCTCGTTGTGGTAACTAGCGGTAGCCTGTTGTTTGAAAGAACATTTATAATGAATCATCTTCCACGCTTTCATGGTCTCGTAGGAATAATCAAACATAACATCTTCTCATCTCATTAACTCAGTCACGTCCCATTTGATTCCATCGACAGCCCGTTTCTGTCATCCATACAAACACATCGTATCAACACCATAATCTATCAGTCAACTATGGAAAAGGGCCCTATTCTCCCGACCCATGTGTCGGTCCCGAGCTCAAACAACCGTTGCAATGGTCGTCGCTCAGCCTTTGGCGCAGTCATCATCTCCTTGGTTTTATGTGCCTTGGTTATTGAATTCTTCAGAATTGACAGTCTTTTGTCATCGGTAAGTTTTTTTCTTTTCCCGTTTTAAGCAACGGAGTAAACATGTAAGACTCATCATGCTGACTATGTGATAGATTAACAACAACTTGATCGTCATTGGAAACCATGAGATCCCACAAGCGATGCTCGCTGTCAACGAAGAAAACTCGGGTCTTCATATTCGCACCGACGATGTCGAAGCTCTTGCCTCCACAGACGGCCGTTCGGGATACAATAAGCGGGAGGAGACAGATGGAAGATCTGTATACAACAGTATTGAAGAGGGCACTGTTACCACTGACGGCCGATCTGGTTACAACCGTCGTAATGACAACGGAGACACAGTTGTTACCACAGATGGACGCTCTGGATATAACAAGCGTGAGGAGGAAGACGGCCGATCTGGCTACAACGGTGTCGAAGACGGTGTTGTTACGACCGACGGCCGCTCCGGTTACAATCGTCGGGATGTCGAGGCAGACGGTGTTGTCATGACTGATGGTCGCTCCGGGTACAACCGCAGGGAAGAGGGCGCTGATTCTGTCCCTACTGACGGACGGTCTGGATACAACAGACGTGATGAGGAGGCGGAATCAGAAATGACCACTGATGGCCGATCTGGGTACAACCGGCGTGCAGAGACCGACACTGTTATCGACACCGACGGACGCTCAGGTTATAACAGACGCGACGGTGAAGATGCCGCTGTCTCCACTGACGGTCGATCTGGCTACAACCGCCGCGAGGAGGATGGTCGGTCTGGGTACAACAAAGCTGCGGAGACAGACGGTCGTTCGGGTTACAACCGTGCGATTTGAAGACTCCTGTTGTCCCTGATAATTGTAAAGGGAATTTAGAATGGATTTAGATACAATGAGCTCAGGCTCGGGCGCTGGCGGCTGGTCTCATTTCCTTCGGCTCAGTTGGGCACTATAGCCGACTTCTTCAGACACTCAACTTAGACCATTCTTATTTATATGTGTCATCCTCAGTTGAAATCTCCAATGCGATAGCTTTATTCAAGCGATGACAATATTTGAAAAGTTCGTGCATATTCCCGAGTAAGAAGCCCGGCCGGCCCCACCGCCATTGGTGTTATATTCCGCTTGCCGATGCCGATCTCCGGGCGTGATCTTCCAAATATGAACCTACATCCTCCGCAAGCTCTCGGGGTAGCCAAACTTCCAAAGCTCATTTGAGTGCTTACGCGTGGGAATGAGGTTGATCTTCCAGCTTGGCTGTGGGGTCGCAATACCAAAGTCCCAAACCGGGTGTCATGTAAGTTTGAGAATTCACTGATGGTCCGCTTGTGTGCTGACGGCTTCTCGGGGAAAACAGCAATCCAACTAAAACAATAAGTTATGCCAGAGGAATATAACATTGGACCGAAGCAGTCTTCGTCATACGCCATCTTGAGAAGCTGTCTGTTCCGAGATCGTTGTGAGGAGATGTGTTCTCATGGAACGGGAGGCCTCCTGCCTACCAAAAGGAGACTGGCCGTAAACGTGTCATATTCCAAAGCGTCATCCCAGTCCGGATAACCGGCAAGGCTTCAAATAAGCCACGTAGAGCGCAGCGTGTTTGACCGTATCTAAGAAACAATGAAAAGGCGCAATAAAGAGCATTCATGGTGATCCGACCCATCGCGCTCCATCGAAACTTTATCAAAAGATTGATTTTGGGTAGAGCCCCTACAACGAATCAACCCTGCAGCCCGTTGGGGTAGCTATCAATCAACGCAAGAATCATGGTCTCCTGGAAGATTGTGCCCTGCACGCTCGCCGATGCCCCGGCTTTGGCACGAAACAACATGAACGCCTTCTGGGCGACAGATAAAAACTGGAAACTCGGCTGGACGATTCAAAACATCGAACTCGATTTTCTCGTTGGCGAAGTTATCAAGCGCATGCCGAACAACCTCCTGAAGAATCGCGAGACGCTGCGTCATTTCAAGGCAGTTGATCCCGAGACGGGTACTCTCATGGGCTACGCACGCTGGGAGTTGCCCGCCAAATACGCGGATGCACCGGAATGGGCAGATGCGCAGATTCCCGATGTAAGCGAGGAGGAGAGGAAGGCCATCAAGGAACGAAGCGACGGCGCATGGTGGAAGCCGTACAGCATGGACGGCATCAATGACTGCGGTCCCGAGAAGCACCGCATCTTGGCCGAGGACAGGTACATCAGTAAGGATCCATCAGTGAACTGAATTTCGCAACTCTTAATCCTGTGATAAGTCTAATCGCGCTACAGGTCTTGACTATCTGGCTGTTCATCCCGATAACACGGGCAAGGGCGTTGCTACTGCTCTGGTTCAGCATGGTGTACGACTTGCCGAGGAAATGGGAGCTGACGTCTTCATCTTATCATTCGAGGCTGCTGTGAATATCTACAAAAAGCAGGGGCTGAAAGAAGTTCACAAAGCTTATCAGGACGATACCAAATACGGGGGCTGTGGATACTGGGTCTATCTTCTCACACGGGAGGCGAAGAAGCAGGAGGGCAGTGGACATGAAAATCCTACGCAGACTACGGGTGTGTAGAGCTACATTGACAATGATGAGCTTGCCGTTGGCTTTAGGGAATATCGGATCTTTACCGCTGCAATTTGACCTCTGACTCTCCCATGCACTCGGCAAATTCGCTCCTTGTCTTTTCCTGTTGTCTTACGTGTGGGTCGACAATCATTGGCGAGCATTTGACGACATCATGTAGCAAGGTTGATCTAGGCAGAAGCGCCCCGCATACTCAACCATTGGCCAGCCTGGCTGCGATCATACACCATGTGCTCAGCGAGTGCAGGGGAGATAGCCTGATTCCTCTATCCTCGATCTGACATGCCTAAAATGCACCAGATCAACCGCCGGGCTGAAATCGAGGTCTACGACAGACTGTCACAAGTATCTTGAGATCCTCAAGATTCTAGTACAATGAGGACCAAGAAGAGAGGTAACCAGGGGCCTCCCTCCGAGACCGACTACGAGATTCTTCATTTGAAGCGAGCTATTGTGGCGCCCAATGCAGGGGAACATTCTTGCGACAAATGCATCGGTATATTGGTCAAGCCACTTCCAGAGCCTTTCCAGCGCGCTTTTACGAAGTCGAAAGACTATTTCCGGCTCGACGTGACCACCAGTAAGGTCCAAAAGATGGCAGCATCCGGGTGCGCTTTCTGGACCATGATCCAAGAGCGCCTGGAGTTCGAAGCGTTTAAGGTGGTGCTGGAGCAGCAATGCAGCAAAGTTGAGTACAACCTTCAGAAGCATGACGGGCGTTGGTCAAACGTGCACTACGAAGCCCTCGCAGCCTCTATGGGAGAAGAGCAGGTGAAGGAGTATCAACGACTATGTCAAGCCATGAGGAAATTGCCCTGGCGGTCCGCATCACGCGACGACGAATCGGTCGGGGCAGTTGCCGCAGATGTAGCAGAAGATTTCGTGAGAATCCTGGTGGCTTACACAAACATCGACGATGACAACCCGGGAGACTATGACGACCAGTCAGCAAAAGTGGATGTTAACATCATTGTGCGGCCTAACCCAGCCGGAGAACGATTCAAGAGTGTGCGATGGATTTCATTTTGGGTGTCATTCTTTGCCTTGGGACTTCCAGGCAAGTAAGCTGCTCGTCATGCATGAATGACCAACTGCTTACCGAAGAACGATATTAGGAGACTTCGGAGATGCCAGACAGACTTACGTCGGCTCTCCATCGAACACAACACCGGAAAGCTTGGCATCGATGTCTCTGATCCAGAGTTGGCTGAGGAAATGCGAGATTGACCACAACTGTGGTATCAATGATCGACCCTCCTCTATGCCATCGTTTCTCCTGGATGTTTCCTGCAAACAAAAGGTCAAGCTGGTCTCAGTCACCCAAGACACGAGGGAGCGATACATTGCGCTGTCGTACTGCTGGAGTCGGTATGCAGAGGACGATGCTGAAAATCGGCAACAAGAAAGATCTCATGTCCGGACTAGAGCTACATCACTTCGACCCTACGATCCAGGACGCTATGAAAGTTACCAGGGAACTCAACTTCCAGTTTTTGTGGATTGATGCCCTCTGCATCATACAAGACGATTACGACTTCAAAGCTAAAGAGCTGGGGAAAATGGGAAACATTTACCAGTGTGCTACGTTCACAATCATTGCCTCGGCAGCCAAAGACGTGAAGCAAGGATTTCTCAGGGATCGGCATGCGACTATTGGACCGGCAAGAGATATGACGGCGCCTCAGCCCATGTTCAAAATCAAGGCATACGGAAAGCGTGGGAAGCACTATGTCCAAGTCCCCATTCTTCTCACGCCGTACCACTTCGACTACCCCGAGCCGTGGTATACTAGAGCTTGGACCTTCCAGGAACTCTTGTTCTCAAGACGTCGCCTTCAGTATCTGAACAATCGAACAACATGGAGTTGCTATTGTGGAGAACAGGTTGTCCAGCATTGCGATGGTTGGATTATCGGAAAGGCACACACACATCCTGGCTATGGCATTGCGGAGCAAGAAACCTTCTCGGATGTGATGGAAATACTCAAGAACCCTGGTGATGCCCAGTTCAACTCCAGTGAGCTTCTCGAATACTGGTGTGAGCTTGTGGATATGTATTGCACCCGAAAAGTAACATATCAGAGCGACCGCTTGCCGGCAATATCTGCAATAGCGCAAGAGTTTGCGTTGGCTCTGAAAGAGAAGTACATCTGTGGTATTTGGAAATCAGATCTACCATCGGGGCTTTTGTGGTCTTCACAATTTGCTCAAATTGACAACAAGAACCCAGTCCGACGTTCTGGCCCTGTCGAAAGGCCTAAACCGACATGGAGCTGGTCGGCTTACGATGACGATGTCACATGGATAAACACGCATCTCGAAAAACAGAAGGATCCAGACTTCGAAATCTTGAGTCACGATATTCAGCTCGTATCTGCGGATGCGCCATTTGGTGAGGTCAAGAAGGGCGAGCTTCGTGTGCGTGGCTTGATGATAGGGATCCCAGTTCCATCCAGAAGTGCTGAAAATGGGATACCAGTCATTATTGTCGAGGGGACAGAGATGCCAGCAGTAATTGACTATCCGGACGATCCGAGGTTGCAACAGAACTCTCTCTCAAGGCTGAGCGCACTGATTATCGTCCAAACCGGCTGTTCAATCCTGGACGGAATCATAATAGTGGAGGAAGAGAAGGACAGATGGTCTCGTGTTGGCTGGTGGCATTCGGAACACACCCGAACGGAATCGTCAGAATCGAGATATTCTGAAAAGCCTAGTATGACAGCCGTGGCGGAAGCATATCGGGCAAAGTTGAGGGATCTTTGAGGCGGCAAGGAGAATGTTCGCGACTTCATCCTGACCTGACGAAATGGCTTCAATTCTTTTCAAGACCATAAGTTCGGGTCATCGAGCGAGCATTCTGTAGAGACTGATTGGAGTGGCAAAACTATTTACAAAACTCCCAGAAGAGACTCGTCCAAGAACTCCTGCTTTCTTCCAGGAATTTGGAAGATGTACTCAGTTTATCGGCGAGTGCTTTGCGGATGGGTACATGGATGGAGAGGCATGGAAGAATCTTGCAGAGAAATCAGGTAGCCCAGGATCAGGAATTTTTGCGCTGGTGAAGAGTAAAAATGTTGTCGATAAGCCGACTCATTTGTTCTGAGGTAGGGGAGACTCAAACGTTTGGCTCTCGGGATGAAGTCTCGCTCGAGATAGTGGACTACGACAGCAACATCCTCGAGGAACATGCATCACCTTCGTTCTTATCATGGCCAAATTGATGTGGAACTTCGTTAGAGAAGTGTTGAGGATATAATGTGAATTTCGCTTCACATTCGGAACCCCCGAGCCTGAACCCCGTGCGACCCGGGTGTTCCCCCACTTTTCCGGGACTACCCCGTCGCCGCTCCACGGCAATTTAACTAGGCGGTGTCCGACGAGGCCCGGGAGTTCGGCATGAAGGCAACAGAGTGAAAAGGCAATCCAAATCACTGTTTGCGAAACGGAAGATCTTATCGCGATGGTCATTTTGATATAGTGTGCCGTCAGCCAGGTTTCCGGAAGACTAAGCCCACACTAGTCGTCAAATCATCGCGACTTTTGGGTCTTTGCAAGGACAAGCTTTCTTCCTTCGTTGGTTTCTCCGCTGTCATGACGATATGGGCGGGCATAAGCCGAGGCTCTCCTCTCAGTCCCCATACAAGGCGGACCTTTTCGTTCTCGGGACCAGGACACGGACGTTGTGATGAGTAGACGAGAGCCGTCCAGCCGTCCGCCTTACCTTCTACCGGCCAGGATGATGAGTGAGGCACATGTGAAGGTCCACAAAAGACGTCAAAGATACAACGCAAGGCGATATCACGGCTACTAAATGACTTGCAGCGGTGATATAGCCATGCTGGAATTAGGCGCCGATCTTGAATGAGTCGTGCTCGGTAGCCGGGGCCTCTTTTCTCTTAAACGCCGTCTGCGATTTGGTCATCAGTGCCACGAGCATGCTTCAAGTTCGGGAAGTTGTTGGAAGATCGCATCACATACTTTGATCGCCCCCAATAACACAAGACGCATGGGCCAATATCACCACTTCAAGTTAGGACAGGTGTTGGGAGGGCGCACATCATTACCAGATTACGATTGTCATCATCTATGGGTATCCGCTCGACTAGCATTGACATATTTGCACACGTGGGCACGCATTTCTCTCCCCACACACCGCTATGACCGCCCTTACAGGGCCAGGATCCAGTCCCGCAGGACCTTTTGGATCTCGTAGCTGTTCTTCTCCATGAAGAACATGTGTCCGTTGCCGTGGATGCCAGCCTCGCCAAGCTCGAGGTGCTCGGTCTTGCTGCATCCGGCCTGCTGCAGGAACTCCACGGTGCAGTGGTCGTAGGGCGCGTGATAGGAGGCCTCGGAGGTGACCAGGAGGATGGGCTTGCTGGCGAGGTTGACGAGCTGGCGGGGCGCGGGCTCCTCAGCCTGCAGGACGCATTGGACGTAGTTCTCGCCCTTGGCGGCGTAGGTCGCCTGGACGAGGTCGGTGGTAGGGTCGGTGACCTCGGGGGAGTAGGTGATGGGGATGTCGGTCAAGCCATAGGGACGGCCGGCCTTGGTGCTGAAGATGGCTTCCTGGAAGGGAGGGCCCGTGGGCTCGAGGAGGATGAGGGCCTTGGTGAGCTCGGGGCGGGCGTCGGCGATGATGATGGGCATGATGCCACCCTGGCTGTGACCGAGAACGACGGCGGGGCGGCCGATCTTGTCGAGCAGGGCGGCACCCGCGTCTTGGACGGTCTTCTGCTGGTACGTGGCGTTGTTGACGAACTCGACGTTGGAGCTGTAGAAGGCATCGAAGATCGGGTCGCCCATGGTGCCGGTACCGGGCCACTGGGTGTGGTTGGCAGCTTGGGCCCAGAGCATGTAGTCCTTGACGGCGGTGAAGCGCTGCTGGATGATCTCAGCGGAGTAGGTCGAGGGCTTGGTTGCGCCGTAGGCGGGCATCCAGGCGGAGCGGCCACGGAACGTCTGGTCGACGATGTAGACCTCGAAGCCCTGTCTCACAAAGTGAGAAGCCCAGCCACGGCCGCCATCGGGCTTGTTGAGGAAGTTCTGGGGACAATATCAGTAAGGTTCAAGGCTCGGCCGAGAAAGATTGTGACCTTCCGAAGAGGGCCTTTGGGATCTGCAATGCACTTACGGTACCCGTTTGGGCCTGTCCGTGGATCAGGACGATCGGCGTCTCTTGGGTGACGCCAAAGGTAGGGAGCAACTTCTCAACGTACATCTGGTCACGGAAGATGTGACCGCCGGAGCCATCGTCGACGTAACCGCCTCCGACGTAGAAGTAAGAACGAATGTAGGGGACCTCCGAATCAACGCATCCCTCATCCGGCGTAGGCGGCGCGCCTTGTCCCGGGAAGCCTGGCGGTCCGCCGCGTTGGGGGAACGCGGAGGCCTGGCCCAGCAGAGCGGCGGCCACAGAAGCTAGCTTGAGGAACTGCATATTGTGCTGCGTCGGCGTGTGTCACCTTGATACCAAATGAGACACGGGGGGCTAGCAATTGACTAGATGGGAGACCCTTTGGAACAAAAGGAGTGGAAGGGGGAAGGGAGAACCGAACCAACGGAGAGTGACTGAGAAAAAGAGCGACAGTGGTTGGGCAGGGGATCAACAAAGTTTCCGTCCACGCGACGGAAGGGTGGCAACTCATTCTTTTTAATTGAACGAAAATCACCTTGCCGCGAGCTCCGCTAGTCTAGCATAAGGGTCCCATCCTTCGAGTGATTTCAATGATAGGGCTGATGGAGCGGCCAAGGAATGAGGTAATACGACGTCGAGACATGGCTTGCCGGTGAGCTTAGCGGGACGCCACCGCCTCCAAGACTTCGATTCGGTCTGTAAGTCTGGATAGCGGCACTCGCCCGATGGGCCGAGACGCCACGCGGCCACTTCCCGATCGTGGGATGGAGACTGGGCAACTTCACGGCGTACGATATACGGCGGAACTCGGGGGGGCTCAATTGACAATAGGGGATAGTTGGGGGTTATTCAGCACTGCCTAATTTCCATCCATCGAAGAAGTTGGCCTGCCCATATTAAAGTGGTGTTGTCCGGGCGCGAGTCAGTTCGCCGACAGGGACCAGGGCCTCAACACACGCGAGGGTCTCATATAGAACGGGGCCGCGGTAGCATCGTCGAACAACCATGGATATTAACCTTCACTAGAGGGCTGGATGCGGATCATGTCCGAGCATTAATCTCCGTGCGCAGAGAAAAGAGGAGAGAAAAACTGCTTCGGGATCGCTTTCTTGGGCGGCTGTCAAACGCAATGGGAAGCTCAGGTTTGGGGGCTAAGTTCTGTCAAAAGAACAAGTGCCGAAGAGGGAACTTGTGTGCTTGAAGAGAGAAAAGCAATGACTTGCAATTTTGGTGGGGGAGTTTGGTGATCTTATGGCGGGTCGAAGAGTGGTGATTATGATGATCTTGATCCATTTCCCACATCTTCCCACATCGGCCGTGGACAATCGGTTGATCGGGTCCAAAATTCAATGGGGAATCAAGGAATCAACCTGCTCGACTCCAAGTGGTGGCCAAGACCGACTGTCTTACCGGCTTTTCAGAACGGCAAGACGGCTGTGGCTGTATCTACCGCTAGCTTTTGCTAGTGCCCAGATCAACCGCCAGGCCATCCCCGTCTTTTCCTAGTGGACGTTTGCTCCTCCGATGCATCCCTGCAAGGTACGCGCACGCACGCCCGCCCGCCACGGGTGGCAGATTTTGATATCGTATTTTGTGTCTTTCAACTCCGTCGGCAAAAAGAAGCAAAGGGTCAGTCCGGTTCCGGTCGCTGAAGAACAAGATCTAAGCGAAGGCCGCCTGTTTATGCCGGTTGTTGTTGAAGAATCAAGGAATCCGCTCCACACTCGAATCGTCTTCGGTACGCTTAAATCCTCTCGGCAAGCGATGTTGCATGCGGTGCTGCGGCACAAGAAAAAAAGAAAGAAGATCCCTGGATCTTACGTTACCTCTTGTAAGTCCGTAACAACCAGTCCGGTCACCTCGGCTTCTAGAAGTCTAAAGACCTCCCCCTCGGACAGAGCCCCACGGTGGATCGCAATCACACATCTGTCCTGGGATGGGGGAGTCTGCAGCCGACGTGCATCCGAAGGCGCAGGGAAAGTTGGGGTTGAAGAACGGAGGTCTCAAGCCCTGATCCTTTCATCTGGGCCGGCCTCTTCGCAAGGTCTGGAAACTGGTCACGCCGCAAGAGTTTCTCGGAATGGCATGATGCCCTTTCGCAAGGCGCCGGGATGAGGAGACGTACGGTTGGGACTAAGCAGGGCCCCTATCTCTTAGTGTAGGTGAGGCAAAGAGGATAATAATGGTTCATGAACTGCCCCGTCTGCACTGCTCTCGAAGGACCCTTTTTTCGTCGTCTCTTTCTCTCTCTTGACCTTCCCTTCGTCCCACGTCGCTGTGCGAGTGCCCCCTTCGGAACTTCGCCGGCCATGGATGACCCGACGCTCCTCATCCATTGGCTCTTCAGCTGCCTGGCCTTGGCGGTCATGTTCGCCAGGCTAGTCTGGAGGAAGATAGCCAGGCAGGAGTACAACCTGGGCGACTATCTCACCATCGCCGCCTGCGTCTGCGCACTGACTCGACTTGGCCTCATTCATGTGGTGTTGACCTGGGGGACGAACAACGTGACGCCGAAATATCGAGACTCGCACAACTTTACAGACGAAGAGATCTACAGACGGGAGATCGGCAGCAAACTGTCTCTCGTCAACCGGGTTTTTTACAACTCTTAGTCAGTTCTCCCCTTTGATAACCCCCTGGTGCACTGCAACAACCCATGTTGCGTCCTCGCTTGTATGCCCTCTTCTGCACGCAATCGAGTCAGGAAGGTTTTTAGAGTTGCGATCGATATACTAACTCGACTCAAGTCTTTGGTTGCAGAAGCTTGTGTTATTGGACGTCTACCGTCGTCTCATTCTCAACTTGCGATATGAGAAGATTACCATTTGGTCCTTTTCCCTCATTTTCTTTGGCACCTACGTCGCCTGCCAGGTGACGACTTTCAGCGAATGCAACCCCTTTCACCTTTACTGGCAGGTTCTGCCTGACCCTGGTATGTGACTAGTCATATTTGAGGATTGTCAAGAGAATATTATGACTGACAACTCGCTCTTACAGGATCATGTTCCAAGGCCCAGCTTCAACTTGTTGTCGTTGGAGTTCTTAACATTGTGACCGACTTCATGCTTCTGGTCCTCCCGATTCCATTGGTTGTCTCCCTCAAGACCCCTTGGCAGCGAAAGATCCAACTTTACGCCCTTTTCACCCTCGGAATTTTCATCATCGCCATTACTGTCATCCGCCTGCCGATCAACATCAACAATAAGGACCTGCAAACCAACCGCACGACATGGGCCAGCACCGAGCTGCTCACCGCGGCAATCGTCGTCAACGCCCCGACGATCTACGGCATGTGGAACAAGAGGAGGCAGAAGAAGTCGTCAGGAAAATCAACCAACCCATCAGGTCTTCACTACTACGGCGGCGGCACCCACGCATCGACGGTTCATCGATCGACTGTTCGAGCCCAGGGACCGGAGGAGTCGTTCGCGATGAACTCCACAAGGCGCAAAATGGGTCCCATGGAGGGAATCATGCAAACAAAAGAGGTCATCGTTTCAGAATTTCGGCAAGATGGAGACCACCGTATAAATGGACGATATGAGAATCTCCCGGATGATGTGGAGAATGCGTCCAATCATTCGAGCCAACACGGCATCTTGAAGAAGCAATGAGAAATTTCATAGAGTAGAATAATATAACGGCATTACGACCCAAGTTTTCTTCATCTTCTACAGTACTTGATGATTGATTGACATTCGGCGAAGAAAGAGAGAAAAAATCGCGCTTGAATTTTTTAGGCTCGGGAGACGTCCGAAATCCTACCATGGAGTAGCTGGTTAGCTCCCGATATTAAGGCCCCGATCCTCCCGCAATCCAGCGCACAGACGACACGGGATCGGCACCATCAGACGAACACAACTCCAAGGTGAACCCTTGGCCTTAAGACGGGAGCAATCAAGTTGTAACCTACAATCACCGGTATTCAGGGGCTCTATCCTCATTAGACATTGGCAATATGGCAGTTGTTATTACTTCGAAATGCAAAGAAGATGGTTTCCAAACATTTGCAATGTTGAAAGATTGAATAGGAGTTGATGACAGTCGGCAATTCTGATCCCAGAGTCTTGCAGGTGGGTGGCCCCTTGAAGTCATGTGGCTTTACCAGCTGTGGCTATGTTATCACGATTAGGTCTCAAACGGATGATGGAAATCTTTCTTTCACTGTGAAGATTTATTTCAGACTTTCCTGATAGATTTCCTGCACAGACGCTGCCACGTTGGCCCGGCTCAACGCGCTACTGGCTGATATGATGCCGATTTAGCCGGCCTCATTGCAACGATCACAGACATGCCTAACTGACGGAGGCCGAGAAAAGCGTTCCATGAGGCTCTGCCACAGCCTGTTTTGGGGAATACGCGGGGAGTTGCATGCGCTGGCGCAGCTCTTCTTTTGGGCACCCAAGATATCCTCTGTGTCTCCCACCAAGTAAGACATCATGACGTGGGAGGGGAGCCATCCGGCACTTATTGGATGCACAAAGATGACCCTTGAAAGCAGGCAACCAATTGGGCTTTCCCTTCTTTTGAGGTCTGACGCAGGCTCTGGCGTCTTTGAGCCGCAGCAATGGTTCGCAACTGCAAAAAAGCGCCTGATGCAAGCCATTCGGGGCGCATCGCCAGGGGTCCTGCATTAGCGAAGGTCAGCTGCAGTCACGACTCTCTTTCAGGCAGTGCAGGTCGTTGGACTGCCATAAGGGCAGTATTCCCCAGAACCTCGCCGTAGTGATGAATGAATTTCCCCTCTCTTCTGAAATCGGCCACGGTTTCTTGAGGGCCACGCTCATTTGACCACTGCGTTGGAGTTTCCTCGGCTGTGAGAGCAGCATTCTCCCACCGGCATACTGACCGACGATAAGATCACAGACTGTGTGGGAGAGCTCCACTTCACCGCGCCGATCCGATCGCTGGAACAAGCGGAGATACACGTTCCCAGGCCCACGCGCCGGCCCGTTGCCCTGAAACAGCTTTTGCCCGCTTCCGTCATATCAGAATGGCCGGAGAGGATGTCTCGGTGGCCATTGCAGCCCTGGTGATTGCAATCGTCGCCCTCTTTGCAGCGACTCTTCAATTCGCGCAGGCAGTGTTTGCAACCGCGCGGGGTCTTCCCAACTGTGACCAGCGAGTGATGGGCGGGTGGTCTAGAAACAGCAAAAGCAAAATCAGGTGGAGACAGCTGAGACTCGAGGTCGAGTTCGAAGCGCCCATCATCTTTCTTGCCCCTCCGAAGAACAAGAAGAACCCAGGCAAAGGCGATGCGTGGCATGCGGAGGGCACCGAGGAAAGCTGCAAGAATACTCGCGTCGACTTCAAGAATCTCTCCGACAACAATAGCGTGCATACGGTCGACAACGAGCTTGCAACATGGGTCTACCTCCTCACTGCCATAGAAGGCATGGAGAAGGACTCCCTGGAATGGGAGGCCAAAGAGCGGGGAAAGGAATCGGATGAGAAGTACATGCCTGTGGAAACACCGCTGCCCCCTCCGACCCTTACAGTCAAGATGCAGGCGAAGACGAGGAGCTTCGACACAAACCCAGCCATCAAGAAGCCATACGCAATCACGACCATCTCGCACTTGGTTGAGCTTGCTTCCGTTCTCGGAATCTACTGGAAGGTCTTCGATCGTGATGACAACAAGTACCGCGCCGAAGGGAACGGGTACATCTTGACCGGCTCTCGCATTACCGACTTCGGTATCGTGTTTGTCTTTGAGAAGACAGGCAGAACGAGTTTCGGCGAAAGACGGCTGATTCCAACGTCAGAAGTCAAGGAGCTGTGCTTTGGCAGGGTTCCTACGCTTTTTCGTCCCAAAGAAGAAACCTCCGATGAAGATGTCGAGTGGCAGGATCCGTTGAAGACGTCGTCCGGAATCGATAACTTGAAGGTTGAGATATTGGAGTTGGGTAGCGAGAGTGAAATTGCCGAGACACTCACGCAGATTGGTTGCAACGTCGAAACGATTCTCTACTACAAGGACAAGAAGAAGCACAGGCACATCTTTCCTGGTACGTATACCACTCTATCAAGTACACCTTCAGCTAACAGGATCATCAAGTGACTTTCGAACTCATCGGGATGGTTGCTCGAGTCTTTCACATTAAAGGCAGATGTTTTCGCTTCTTGCCCAACCCGACGATTTTCCCTTGGGATAGGGAATCAGTGTCGCTTGTCCGACTTCTCAGCGCCTTTACGGAGCTTATTGAGCGGGACCTTGGTGGCATCCAAAATATACTCGAGCATATAACGGAAGACGACGAGCCTTCGAATATTCCAATTACGCGAGAAGTCGATCAAATCCGCTTGATGCTTGAGAAGGCCGAATCTCTCAAGGAAAGCTTCAATACCGGTGCCACCATTAGTCACAACCGGATGACGAAGCTGCACGATACAATCACGACTTTGGATGAGCTCGTTCTCAAAAGAGATCAGACAATCGTTCTGGATGTCCTCCGCCGTCACCTGCAAGTTGTTCTCAAGGCCATCAACGGTAATGGACAGGACAAGAACGTCAAAGACAGCAGCAAATCGAATGGAGAAGCTGCAGCGGGCAGCAGGCAAGCATCCGAGGACATCTCGTTCGGCGATCTGCTGGGCATACCCCTCGAAATGAGGGAGCAGCGGTTCATGGAGACGTACTTCGATCAAATTCTGTGGCGTGTTATTGACTCTACCACGGAAGGAGATCAGGAGGAAGTCACCAGGGAGATTCACCACACCACGAAAGCACGAAAACGATCGCCGGTTCGCGAAGAGAACGAAGATGTATATGATCCCGATGTTTCGCCCATGCCATCGCCTCGAATTCAAGTCCAACAACCCACGTTCCCCACAGCGCACCATCCCCACGGGCTGCCGTCTCCTGGTCTGGTGCACAAAAAGACTTGGTCATCTCGTGGCATGGTGGCACAGAGAGATTGGACAAAAACGGTGACAAGACAGATTGAGATGCAGAGGCTCACAGTCTGGTACACGTTGGTTTTCAGAATGATTTGCTGGCTCACACTTCACGATTTTGACAAGAAGGATGTTCAGGTGTCCAAGAGTGAGCTCATTGGTAACCGGCAGCCTGTCTTCATCATGTGAACAAGATATTGAAAAAAGGCCGCGGTTGGCCCACGAGCTTATGAGAGATTATGCAGAATATTTTGGTCGGTTCGTACTAGGTCATGTACAGGCGCTTGGAAGCATGTTTGGAAGAGGCCAGGACCAGTCTCTAATACTGGTGTTCGCTATTGGAAGGAATAGATACCTAGGGTTATGTTGAAAGAAGTTGCAGTTTTCTGATGCGTACAAGCTGCTCACAGTCGTGAAATTCCAGTGCAACAATCACAACAAGTCAAATACACAGTCGGCACGCAATCCGTCCCAAGCTTGCAACTCAGCCAAGCTTTGGGTATCCCGTCTCGAAAAAGCAAGCTGCTCGGCCCCAAATTTGCCGGGATGAGCTAGTTAGGGCAATCTACCCCACTGCCGCATGGTTGCAGCTCCCCCGCATTGATCTGAATTTCAAGGTCCAGCCCAACTTCGTCGGAGTATCTAATACGCCCTCCAACAACAAGGCCTGCGAAAGCCGCCACTTCACGCAGCGATCTCGCGCTCTCCCCATCATGGGATCCCGCGAGCAGCCCGCAGCGCTCCTCGAGGGCCGCCGCATCTACCTGGGCAACCTGCTCTACGTCGTGCGGCCTGTCGAGATCGAGGACACGCTCAAGGACAACGACTTTGGCAACTTTGAGAAGATCGTCATCTCAGTCGATCCCGTGAATGGGAGGAACCCAGGCTACTGCTTTGTCGACTTCGTCGAGCGTGCCGATGCCGAGCGGGCCCTCGCTTCCCTATGCGTTGACATCCGCGGGCGGCCAGTCAAGGTCGGGCCCTGCGAGCCGAAGAAGCAACGGCAGAGAGTCTGGGGGAGGGAAGCGGAGCCGAATGATAAGCGATGGGGTAATTGGACAGGCCAGCAGGAGCCTGGGGCTGAAGGGACTGGGGACAGCCCGTACGAGGCGATGGGTCACTTTGATAAAGTGGTTGGCACGGATGGCGACGGCAGACGGCTGTATATCGGCGGGTTGACGAGGATGATTGACCAACAACAGGCCCAGGAGGAGATGCGGGATATCCTGGCTGGCTTCAATCCGTAAGTCCTTATTCGAGGCCCGGGGGGTCATGAATGCCACGACCTTTTACTAATGCATCATCTATAACAGAAAAGAGATAGGGAAGCGAGTTACGCCTCATATGGAAACTCGATCCAAGCCCGGAAACCACCACTACTGCTTCGTTGATTTCGAAACGGTCGAGGAGGCAGCGGCGGTAATTAAGGCGTTGAACGGCAAGTAATACGCAGGAGGTGCCCTGCAAGTCAGCGTCGCCCAAAGGATTCCGGTGAGAATCCGGGAGCCGTCGAGACTGCAAAAAGAAGACTCGTCTTGGAGAGGTAGACCTACTCCTCAGAATGACAGGCCAAGAGACGAGCAGTCGAGCACGGGATGGACCCGCAACCCGGCCCCGAGGGAATCGAAAGATGACTGGCCGACCATGTCCGCGCAGTCTTCGGCAACTAGCAGCCAGCCTTCCTGGTATGTATCCAAGACTGAAAGAGGGTCGGAACCTGACAGGTCGTCGTGGAAGAAGATGGGCTCCGGCACCCCGAACTCATCAAGTAGCAAAACAGACCAGCCACTTAGGTCTTTGGCTTCCAGCAACTGGCGCCAGAAGAGCTAGGCAATAATGTCTTTGAGTACATGCTTACAACGAACGTTGGAATCATCTCAGTCTCGGTTGCTTTTGAAGTAGGGGTGTAAGTCGTGGTGTTTGCGGTCTGGCAGGGAAGCGAGCGACTGGTCCATGGGATGAGACTCATCTCAAGTTTGAACTACAAAGAACTCAATAATCCAGGCCGAAATGGTCTTGCTTACTATAAGTTATTCCGAGGCAATGCTCATTGGCCTAGGTGCAGGTGAAGTGTACCAAGAAGCGAAACCCAAGGGTTCACATGGATTTGATGGAGGAAACCCGGTACGCTGTGTAGTGTCTCGAGCCGGGTGAGACTACGTGGCCGGTATCCCATATCCTCGGCCAGCTCCAGAGTTTCGCAACTAGAAAATCTGAGTATCATTAATCAGGCTATACGCTCTTCATCACTCACCTCGGAAGACCAGAGACATTGTCTTTTCGCACAGACGCTCCCAAAGCAGTGGGTTTCTATCCTATCCAATGTCTAGACTCCAAATTCAGCCGCTCTCCAGATTCTCGGTACCCGCAAAAGTCTCGTATATAGCCCAATTAACCATATAATTTCGGGATTTCCGTACTGTAAAACCTAGCTTAGAACATAAGCTTCGAGCAAGCAGAGGCTAGAGTAGCCTTCTCTCCCAAGGTCTCACCGCTCGTCTCATCAGATGGGGGGCAGGCTATGCCCATGATGTGCTCCCACGCTCACCCTTGCATGTAGAGAAAGGTGCTTTCCTCTGCGAACATGCTCAGCAAAAGCTTATTTGGACTTCACAAGCATACGTAAAGAGCTTCCCATGTCCCACCGTTAGAGCAGCAAGACTGCCCATACCAGGGTAGCTCCGGTGTGTTTAGAGTTTCGGCGCTATGGCGTTGATGAGACACGACTCGTCGTTGTCGCAGGAGAAGCTCTGAAGGGCCTGTGAATGCGACAATGACTCGCTACAGGCACCTTAAGCATCGCCCTGCCCCCCTACCGAGCCACAGGCAACGCCGTTTTCGACGCGCCCATTACCTCATCATCGCTGGCGTAGTAGCATCTCTAGCGGGAAGGTTTAATCCCCCCCGCGCTATGCCTAGGACGACGTAGTGAGCCCAGCCCACCGGCCACACAAGCTCTCTTCTTACGAACCGAAAACGTCGTTCATTAACCGTCTTGCCCGACGACAGTTTAGAAAGTGAAGCCCGACCTCATTCCAGGACGGCGACTGAGTTACTCATTCAGACTGCATCACCCCGAAAATCCTCACCCCGCTTGGTTTCCTTATGTCCTCCGCGCTCACTCCAGGTCCCCGAAGCTATCGCGCGCCGACCTAGCTTAGCTGACGTGGGGCTGGCGGTCGGGCACTGAAGGGACTGGACGTACGTATCGGGGCGTGCCTCCGGAGCGCTGCGCCGCATCATGGGGTGCCGGCCGTCGGCGAGCTGCTTCGCCTGCAAGGCGAGGAAGGTCAAGGTTTGGATACATCATCCTCCATCTGTCCCAATTTGGATTGAACTAACTCGATCCCAGTGCGACCTGCAAAAGCCCTTCTGCAACCGCTGCATATCCCTAGGCCGGCAGTGTCCAGGCTACGCGGACCCGTGGACGGTCGTCCACCGCCAGCAGAATGCCTCCGCAGCACATCAAGTCCAAGTCCGCGTCGCCAAACGCCTCAAAGAGCGCGGCGACGCCCCGACGTTCCTCAGCCCCGGCGGCCCCAGCGGGGAGGGCAGCTCGCCCGAGAGCCAGCGCAGCGACTCGTCCGAGGAGGAGGAGCTCATCCGCCGGATCACGGTGATGCCGCGCGCGGTGCAGTACGACTCGGAGATCTACTCGATGCGGCACTTCCGGTCGAACTACACGTCCGGCAACGAGGTCGGCTTCTTCGATCTGCTGTTCGATCTGAAGCCGCCGGTGAACTCGCCGGGCGTGTTTGAGGAGGCGGTGAAGGCGACGGCGCTGGCGAGCTCGTCGCTGCAGCTGTGCCAGGCGGGCATGATGGCGCAGGCGAAGCAGCATTATGGGAGGGCGATGATGAAGCTTAGTGCGGCGTTGAGGGATCCGCAGAAGGCGAAGGAGGATTCTGTTGTGGTTGCGTTCCTCACTTTAGGCCTTTTTGAGGTGAGATGCAGGTGTGTGAGTGAGAGTGAGAGAGGTTGCTGATGAGATCCAGGCGATTATACCGGATAAGACTCCGTCGAAAATAGCATCACACTGCCGCGGGTCGTTGGCGCTGCTCAGGTATAGAGCCGAGCAGGGGATTGCTACGTGGCTGGATAAAGCCTCGTTGGCATTCATCGCTCAGTTGGGGGTAAGCATTTTACACCAGACTTCTGCGTAGCCACGCCGCTGAACAACCCAATTTTAGATTCTCGAGATATTCATCGGCCAAGATGGCCGGTCGCCAATACTAACAGGCTTAACCCAAGCTACGTGGGCGCAGGGGCAAGGCGGCGTCGTGGAGGCTCTCATCGCCCGCGCCATCGACTACAAGTTCACCGTCCTAAAAACCACATCCTCCCCCGACATCCACGACGCCTCCGTCGACACCGTCACGGCCGTCTTCAAAGAAGGCATCGAAATCATCCGCGACCTCGAAGCCGCCGCAAACTACCGCGTCGCCACCCCGTCCCCGCGCCAGTCCCCCCCGGCACCGGGCCTCCCCGACCCCGGCGTGAACACCTTCAACGGGCTCCTGCGGCGCGACTCGCCGGCCTCCAACGCGATCGCCAAGGGCCTGTACCTCACGGTGCGCCTGCACATGGTCGAGCAGATCCTCTCGCTGCTGATCGCGCTCGGCGAGCCGACGCGCGAGCAGCTGCGCGCGCTGGTGGACCTGCCGCACGGCTTGACGGCGATGGAGCAGGTGTGCGAGCAGATCCGCGTGATTTTCGGGTTCGACGGGCGCGAGAGCGTGTGCAAGGAGCAGGGCATGGGGTTCCAGGCGTGGTGCATGTTCTGGCCGATGATTGCGGTGCTGAAGTCGGCGCTGGCGGATAAGGATACCAAGTTGTGGGTGCTGGACAAGTGTTTGACGGTGAGCCAGGCGAGCGGGTTCGGGATGGCCATGTACCAGATGGGGTGGTTCCAGGGCGGACCGTCGGAGATGGCCATTATTGAGTAAGAGCCCTCTCTCGTGGGGATGGGGGGGAGGTTGTGTGTGTGTGGATTTGGTTCGGGAGTTGACTGGTGCATAGACAATACCCTGTGTCAGCCTCTTTGGCGTTCAGATTTTGAGGGAAAACAGGACTTGTGGCGCTTTTATGCGCTTGAGAGGATGATATAATGCTATTGAGAATCTTGGTCTCGTTCGGGCAGTCAAATGTTGAAGCCATCTACGACCTCAAGGTGATCGGTTCGATTGACG